TATTATCTCACGGTAGTGTTACACTAACTATAGTATTATCTCACTGTAGTGTTACATAAACTATAGTACTATCTCACGGTAGTGTTACACTTACTATAGTACTATCTCACTGTAGTGTTACACTAACTATAGTACTTTATCACTGTCATGTTACATTAACTATAGTACTATCTCACTGTAGTGTTACACTATCTATAGTACTATCTCACTGTAGTGTTACACTAACTAAAGTACTATATCACGGTAGTGTTACACTAACTATAGAACAATCTCAAGGTAGTGTTACACTAACTATAGTACAATATCACGGTAGTGTTACACTAACTATAGTACAATCTCACTGTAGTGTTACACTAACTATAGTACTATATCACTGCAGTGTTACACTAACTATAGTACTATCTCACTGAAGTGTTACATAAACTATAGTACAATCTCACGGTAGAGTTACACTAACTATAGTACAATCTCACGGTAGTGTTACACCAACTATAGTACTATCTCACGGTAGTGTTACACCAACTATAGTACTATCTCACGGTAGTGTTACACCAACTATAGTACAATCTCACGGTAGTGTTACACCAACTATAGTACTATCTCACGGTAGTGTTACACCAACTATAGTACAATCTCACGGTAGTGTTACACTAACTATAGTACAATCTCACGGTAGTGTTACACTAACTATAGTACAATCTCACGGTAGTGTTACACTAACTATAGTACAATCTCACGGTAGTGTTACACTAACTATAGTACAATCTCACGGTAGTGTTACACCAACTATAGTACTATCTCACGGTAGTGTTACACCAACTATAGTACTATCTCACGGTAGTGTTACACCAACTATAGTACAATCTCACGGTAGTGTTACACCAACTATAGTATTATCTCACTGTAGTGTTACACTAACTATAGTATTATCTCACTGTAGTGTTACACTAACTATAGTATTATCTCACGGTAGTGTTACACTAACTATAGTACTATCTCACGGTAGTGTTACACTAACTATAGTACTATCTCACGGTAGTGTTACACTAACTATAGTACTATCTCACTGTAGTGTTACACTAACTATAGTACTTTATCACTGTCATGTTACACTAACTATAGTACTATCTCACTGTAGTGTTACACTAACTATAGTACTATCTCACTGTAGTGTTACACTAACTATAGTATTATCTCACGGTAGTGTTACACTAACTATAGTACTATCTCACTGTAGTGTTACACTAACTATAGTACTATCTCACGGTAGTGTTACACTAACTATAGTACTATCTCACTGTAGTGTTACACTAACTATAGTACTATCTCACGGTAGTGTTACACTAACTATAGTACTATCTCACTGTAGTGTTACACTAACTATAGTACTATCTCACGGTAGTGTTACACTAACTATAGTACTATCTCACGGTAGTGTTACACTAACTATAGTACAATCTCACGGTAGTGTTACACTAACTATAGTACTATCTCACGGTAGTGTTACACTAACTATAGTACTATCTCACGGTAGTGTTACACTAACTATAGTACAATCTCACTGTAGTGTTACACTAACTATAGTACTATCTCACGGTAGTGTTACACCAACTATAGTACTATCTCACGGTAGTGTTACACCAACTATAGTACAATCTCACGGTAGTGTTACACCAACTATAGTATTATCTCACTGTAGTGTTACACTAACTATAGTATTATCTCACTGTAGTGTTACACTAACTATAGTATTATCTCACTGTAGTGTTACACTAACTATAGTATTATCTCACTGTAGTGTTACACTAACTATAGTATTATCTCACTGTAGTGTTACACTAACTATAGTATTATCTCACTGTAGTGTTACACTAACTATAGTATTATCTCACTGTAGTGTTACACTAACTATAGTATTATCTCACTGTAGTGTTACACTAACTATAGTACTATCTCACTGTAGTGTTACACTAACTATAGTATTATCTCACTGTAGTGTTACACTAACTATAGTATTATCTCACTGTAGTGTTACACTAACTATAGTACTATCTCACGGTAGTGTTACACTAACTATAGTACAATATCACTGTAGTGTTACACTAACTATAGTACTATCTCACGGTAGTGTTACACTAACTATAGTACTATATCACTGTAGTGTTACACTAACTATAGTACAATCTCACGGTAGTGTTACACAAACTAAAGTACTATCTCACTGTAGTGTTACACTAACTATAGTACTATATCACTGTAGTGTTACACTAACTATAGTATTATCTCACTGTAGTGCTACACTAACTATAGTATTATCTCACTGTAGTGTTACACGAACTATAGTACTATCTCACGGTAGTGTTACACTAACTATAGTACTATATCACTGTAGTGTTACACTAACTATAGTACTATCTCACGGTAGTGTTACACTAACTATAGTACTATATCACTGTAGTGTTACACTAACTATAGTACTATCTCACGGTAGTGTTACACTAACTATAGTACTATCTCACTGTAGTGTTACACTAACTATAGTACTATCTCACGGTAGTGTTACACTAACTATAGTACAATCTCACTGTAGTGTTACACTAACTATAGTACTATCTCACGGTAGTGTTACACTAACTATAGTACAATATCACTGTAGTGTTACACTAACTATAGTACTATCTCACGGTAGTGTTACACTAACTATAGTACTATATCACTGTAGTGTTACACTAACTATAGTACAATCTCACGGTAGTGTTACACAAACTAAAGTACTATCTCACTGTAGTGTTACACTAACTATAGTACTATATCACTGTAGTGTTACACTAACTATAGTATTATCTCACTGTAGTGCTACACTAACTATAGTATTATCTCACTGTAGTGTTACACGAACTATAGTACTATCTCACGGTAGTGTTACACTAACTATAGTACCATATCACTGTAGTGTTACACTAACTATAGTACTATCTCACGGTAGTGTTACACTAACTATAGTACTATATCACTGTAGTGTTACACTAACTATAGTACTATCTCACGGTAGTGTTACACTAACTATAGTACTATATCACTGTAGTGTTACACTAACTATAGTACTATCTCACGGTAGTGTTACACTAACTATAGTACTATATCACTGTAGTGTTACACTAACTATAGTACTATCTCACGGTAGTGTTACACTAACTATAGTACTATATCACTGTAGTGTTACACTAACTATAGTACTATCTCACGGTAGTGTTACACTAATTATAGTACTATATCACTGTAGTGTTACACTAACTATAGTACAATCTCACGGTAGTGTTACACTAACTATAGTATTATCTCACTGTAGTGTTACACTAACTATAGTACTATCTCACGGTAGTGTTACACTAATTATAGTACAATATCACTGTAGTGTTACACTAACTATAGTACTATCTCACGGTAGTGTTACACTAACTATAGTACTATATCACTGTAGTGTTACACTAACTATAGTACAATATCACTGTAGTGTTATACTAACTATAGTACAATATCACTGTAGTGTTACACTAACTATAGTACTATATCACTGTAGTGTTACACGAACTATAGTACTATCTCACGATAGTGTTACACTAACTATAGTACTATCTCACGATAGTGTTACACTAACTATAGTACTATATCACTGTAATGTTACAGATATCTAACTATAGTACTTTCTCATTGAAGTGTCACAGATATATACATTGTAGTTATAATACTTTATCATTTAATTGTCAAGATATATATACATTGTAGTTATAATACTTTATCATTTAATTGTCAAGGTATATACATTGTAGTTATAATACTTTATCATTGAAGTGTCAAAGACATTTCTCTGCCATGAATTTGTTCAGATGAAGTTGTGATCTGGTCATTTTTCTGTTGTCAAATAATATTTTTTTCTGCTGTTATTTTATGTCAAATTTCCTACTGTTACATGTTGTGAATTGTTCGGAGCAACCTTTTATGTATTTTTCTGTTGTTGTATTACGTCTATTTGCTCCGGTGCTACTTTCATGTAATATTACCCCGACGTCACGTTTTTTTTTGTCGATGTTACATCATATGCATTTTTCTCGGCCCAACATTATGTGTATTTTTGTGCTGTTACCATTTCCTGTTTTTCTGTACCATAATGATATTCTTCTGTGGTAATTTGGTATATTTTGCTCTGTAGTTATATATTATTTGTACTTTTCTGGTATTAACCGGTACATTCCGTGTATTGTTTAGTTGTTACATGTGCATTATGTTAATTTAGCTGTTATTATACTATTTGTATCTTTTCCTGGTGCTACATTATGTTTGTGTAGCATTAAGGGTATGGCCTTTTGTTCTGTTATTAAATTACTTGTATTTTCTGTCGATATATTATTTTTCTGGTGTATTCGTCTAGTATTGCACGTATGGGGGTTTTCTTTCTTGATTTTAACTTAGTTTCCAGAACAAAATTGAACTACGAGTTAAGTAGTAAAACAAAATAAGGATCAATATCTGAAAATATGTTAAAATTTAACCATCCTAAATCATGCTTTGTTAAGACCAACAAATAAACACTAAAATGATATTTTTTTCTTTTTCTTCAGAAGAGACGAACAGTTGAGGTCCGGACTGTTTGGTTTTCGCTAAATCCGATTCCGTCTTGTTTTTCATATAGTACGTATACATGGAAGCAAATTGACATGCGTTATAACTTAAAAGAAAACTGTTTAGTACAGTGTATTTAAACTCCGTGGAATATCCATACTAGCGTAATAAACTTGTTACAAAACTGATGGAATTGTATATTTGATTTACCATATTACATTAACAGTTAAAATTGTATGTAGTTCCAAAATAAGATAATTATCAACGCATTTCAAAGCCTTTTGAAAGTCGCATGCTTCGTTGATTTTTCCCTTTCATATATTTCCAGTTTGACATTTATATAAATAATAATCTAAAAAAATTGCAGGAAACATATTTACCTTTTTTCTCTCTTGTACTGTACTTCAAATAATTCCAGAAATTGTAATTTCTTGGTGAAATCACGTTCGTTAGTCCACAATAGACTTATCCCATAGCTTGATATCGTATACAACACTTCCAAATCACCACGATGTAGTCACTCCTGACTTAGGAACGTTAAACACATCATCCGTATAGTCGTCATTCACAGGGCTACTCTTAAATCGTTATTACTTCACACATAATCGCCTGTATCTTTTATAAAACGTTTCATCCCCAAAACTGGAAACGTACACCGAACTTGACCAGTTTTGTTCCAGACTTATACATGTAGATAAAAAGATTGATTTTAAGGATGAACAAAACTGGTCAAAATGTGTATAATTTTCTTTAACGCAACAGAAAAATCTTTGATCATGAGTCCGGTCGAGTGGAAAGGGTTCAGCGGCTATGTAATGTGGATTTTACACGGTCAATTGGTCAAGCCTATAGCGCGTGTTAACATAGACAATACGGACCGACCCTCTCACAATAGGGGTTAATTGAGAAGATCAGTGACCAATCTAGCGCGAGCGCTCTGGCTTCTGGCTTCTTGCTAATCCGGATTACTGAAACCACTGGCCACTTTGTGCCGGCCAAGTAGAGGTGAAGAAATCCGATAAACTCAAGAACTCTTATCGGGATTAAACGACACACTTAAAGCCGTAAGAAGTAACACATACTTGTACTAATCGCGTAAGCCTTACCGGTTATAGGATCGTACAATGATTGTGATTTCTCAGTAACGTTCACAGGTAAGCACAGGTAATTAGCCCATTTCCTGCGGTAATATCTTTGATCGATGTGACCTGAGTGATGAACTACTCGACTAATCCGACGACTTGCAGTGCACTGTCTCTTCGAAATTATAAAGATATGTGCACGCAATGTAAAACTATTATAACGTTCAAGGTCTTCGGTACAGCTTCCAGTATATATAAAACGTCAATCCGCCGCATTTCTGTACGAAACTCACAAAGAACGTAGTCCAAGCAAAATGCTTGTAGAAAGTACCGGTATGTTATGTGCGCGCCTGGAGGAACGAGTTTGTGAAATCACATATATTTATGAATGAATGAACAGGATGCTGTGATCCATCCATCGACTTTGACCAAGCTGTATAACAGCCACCGAAATACTTTAGTTGAGCGGGGCAAAGCAGCAATCTACGGGTGTTCTTCGAGAGAAAAATGATAGTAACGTTGGGCGTCTTTAGGTAGGCATGAGTGCTATTTTTGAAAATCGAAACCTATCTATAGGAGTTAGCATGTGTTTCTCCTCTCTTAGTCTGCATCCTTTACACTGTAACATTTTACACAACCTACACACATTTCCCCGACGTTCACTATGCCGCTTCGGTAATCAAGTTGTTAGCTTTGGTATTGTTTTCGCTGTGCTTGAAACAAATCTGGAACGTTTTATTGTACAATTAATCAAAGTATTTACTTCTTGTAATCTTTCGGCTGGATGCAAGATAAATATTTAACATTATAGTATCGTGTTGACCGCATTCATGTGTTAGCCTCGGTTTAACATATTATAAAGGGTGGTGCTCTCTCTATTTCAAGTTGTGCATCAAATATCTTCAGACCACAAGGAAGGTATTTTAAGAAAGTATACGCTTTTATAAATAAATCTAAATTCCTATTTGTCTAAATATTATTTTCAACAAATATCCCAAAGGCAACACATTACCCTAGGATACATTGATATTGGGCTATTTAGTTAGGTGTTTTTTTATAACTTTAATTTAGCACATATTTAACAGTTTATATAACAGCCCTTTTTGTTTTAAAAATAAACATATTTGTAAAGTTTATATTAACTATGTATTCTAATTTAACGAAACCAACGTTCTATGATATACTGATCAACTTCAAAAAGTTAACCTCATCTCTCATTTTACACGAACTTATAGGTATGAGTTCGGTTTAAAAAATATTTTACAAAAGGAAGACGAAAACAAATCACATTATTATTTATAATTAATATTGTTTGATTATATATTTAATATCGTTCTTGTTTTAGCACTGGGGTTATTGTAATGTCAATGTCTATTTTACGTAGTGTATTTAAAATGTCATAATCCTGTTACAAATTCACACCTAAAGTTTGCAATAAGACGCCTATCCTGAGGACACTGGTGTGGTTTCCACAAAAGATCCGAAATAATGTCCCGTGGTTCCGTAAATTTGAGGTTCTTCTTGAAAACTATTCCTTTTACAACATAGGATAATTTCTCTCTTAATTCCATGTGAATACACGTACTCGCGAAATATCAATTTGTACGTCACTTCCGCCGGAAATCCAATACATTACACTAACATACTTTTTTCTCTCTATGTTTGCACTTTCGATGAGACCCCTTATAGCATCGGTACAATTGGTTCTTAAATCATAGTTTACAAGAGTGTTGGCGGGGGCTTGCTTAAATACCTGACAACAGAGGTGTGCACAACATCAAAGACGGCAACAAAACGCGAGATCAGGTACGAATTTGATTTACGTTTTGCAATTAAAGTTAACATCGCCGGGTAGAGCACAAGATCATGATTTAATGGTAGGTGATAGAAAACAGTTCTACAGGTGAAAATTAAAACTGAGTTCTTGCGGACGGTAGATGTCTGTTTGGTCGTTGTGCTATGAGGGAACACGGGATATATTTCCTCGTGGTTCGCACAAGACTAGTACGTATGCTGTTTATAGCCCTATGATCGTAATGTCCACTTTGGTCATCTGAAGTTTGACATCTGTTTGTAGTAGTGGTCATCCTTATGATTCTTTCGAATGCGTCGAACAATAAAATTAAGTCTTATTAATGTAATATATGAACCCTCCCGAGTTCCATCCGTACTAGTAAGAGTGATTAATATAAGTTGGAAAAACAACAACTTGTTTTTGTTTCGTAACAGTTGTAAAATAAATAAAGTGTGTACAATATTTATTAAGTATATCAACACGTCCAATATTTCATCACAAATCCCCCTCTCTTTCTTAGACCATATGCATCTCCTCACTTCCGATGCTCTACTATCATACATCTCCCACCCTGCATTTAATGTCTTAGCGCGTACATCTATTACCTCTATTGAGCCTCCATATGTCCCACTTTGAGTAACGTTACATACGGCCATCAATTGATCCTCCATATGTGCCTCTCTGAGTAACCCTCAATACCGCCATCTCTTGGTTAGCCTCCATATGTCCCACTTTGAGTAACGTTACATACGGCCATCCTTTGGTGATCCTCTATAAGTGCCTCTCAAAGTAACCCTCCATACGGTCAACCCTTGGTTAGCCTCCACATGTGGCTCTCTGAGTAACCCTGCATACTGCCATCCATTGGTTAGCCTCCGCATGTGGCTCTCTGAGTAACTCTCCATACGGTCATCCCCTGGTAAGACTCTATATGTCCCACTTTGAGCAACCCTGCATACGGCCATCCCTTGGTGATCCTCCATATGTGCCTCTGAAAGTAACCCTCCATACGGCCATCCTTTGGTAAGCCTCCACATGTGGCTCTCTGAGTAACTCTCCATACGGCCATTCCCTGGTAAGATTATATATATCCCACTTTGAGCAACCCTGCATACGGCCATCCCTTGGTGATCCTCCATATGTGCCTCTGAAAGTAACCCTCCATACGGCCATCCTTTGGTAAGCCTCCACATGTGGCTCTCTGAGTAACTCTCCATACGGCCATTCCCTGGTAAGATTCTATATTTCCCACTTTGAGCAACCCTGCATACGGCCATCCCTTGGTGATCCTCCATATGTGCCTCTGAAAGTAACCCTCCATACGGCCATCCTTTGGTAAGCCTCCACATGTGGCTCTCTGAGTAACTCTCCATACGGCCATCCCCTGGTAAGACTTTATAGGTCCCACTTTGAGTAACGTTTCATACTGTCAACCCTTGGAAAACCTCCATATGTGCGTCTTTGAGTAACCTTCCATACGACCATTCCTTGGTAAACTTCCATACAGCCATCTCTTGTCTCCTCTACTGACTTTTCTCATTTTCGGCCCTCCATTGCCCCTTAAATGGGTATCCTCCTTTTGCACCCCTCCCTTGCCCCCTTTCACTGGTGTTTGTCCTTGCACCCCCTTCCCCCTCCCCCCATTGTCCCCTCCACTGCGTCCCACCCTTAAGCTTGCCCCCGTCAATGGTGTTCCTCATTTGCGTCCCACTCTTAAACTTGCCCCCGTCAATGGTGTTCCTCATTTGCGTCCCACCCTTAAACTTGCCCCGTCAATGGTGTTCCTCATTTGCGTCCCACCCTTAAGCTTGCCCCCGTCAATGGTGTTCCTCATTTGCGCCCACCCTTAAGCTTGCCCCCGTCAATGGTGTTCCTTTTTTGAGTCCCTTCTTCTCTTCCTCCACTGACGCTCTTCCTTTGTACCCTTTAATTGCTCCCTCCATCGTGTTCCTCCTATTTTTTTAATTTCAATAAATTTTATCTTCAAAGGACAAATGGATTGGGCAGCAGGCATAGCCTATTTAAGCCCTTTCCAAACATAGTAACAGACAGTGGTACAAGCATAGACATAAACATTAGAACACATACAAACACATATAAACAAGTTGGTATTATCAAATTAATAATCAATTTAGGGGAAACAACTACTAATACCCATTTTTATTATAATTGAATCTAATGGTTTAAATTCTAACCTTTTATTTTGATATTGAAAAGGCATCTAAAATAAATACCGGTATATGTATATATACATATTATGAAGAGAAAAGAGAAATAATTTGTTGATGGAACTGCATGTATAAACATTTGATGAGATTAAATTACCGCACCCAACAGATACAGGCCAAAACGTCCAATGTATCACACAAGGCCATCCACTGATGAGTTTGGAAATTCAATCCGAACAAATAGTTTATTTTATGCATATTAAACACAGGTTAGATATATAATTGACATGTTGTAAAGCTTTATATTCTTATTTATGTAGTTGTTTCCCAGTATTTTTTAATAAAATAATATAACTGGTCTTCTGAACCCCAGCCTCCCCTCACTAACAATATTTGAAAATAAACAATGAAACAAATAGGAAATCTTAATATTAATATATTCATGTACCATTTCTGGAAATCAGAAGAATTACATTGAGAAAAAATAAAATATAAATAAATAAATAAAATGGAAATAAATAAAATGTAAAATTTCATTCAAAATTGAA